TACAAATCATTAAAATTAGGTTTGTTGTGACTAGGCAATAATGTAAGAAGTGATTTTATCTCCATATTTGGGATTTGCCAATGCATCTGTGAAAGACTCATCTTTGCCTGTATAAGAAGACTAAGCTGATTTACTATGGAAAGTGTTTAAAGTGATACAACTCCTGTGTGGACATTCTTTTATCAAAATAGTTTCTGCACAGTTCATCTTAAATGGGTTTACAATCAGATTCTTAAAAAAGTGTATGATGATCTGTTCAGAGGATCTACTCATGTGGAGAGAAATTTCTTTGTAGTATTTAATCCTAGAGTTTTTGTCTTAAGAGAGTGTCCAAGATGAAGCTGAAAAAGATCTCCACCTAATGACAGCTTCTGTTAGTGATAGCAGTTTAGTAATAAGAGCACAGTATTTTTTTTTGCACTTATAACTTTTTCCATTGTATCCATGTCCCATTATGATGTCCCCTTTCAAAGTGGGGTTTTACATCTTCTTCATGTAAAGACATTTGATTTACTTAGCATATAAAATAGGAGCACAGGCCACTGAAAACATGGATTGACATTTAAAAAAGAAATTTTAATACTATAATTTAATTAGTAGACATGACATTTTCTAATACATTTATATACTAGGTGTCTGGTCCTGTACATCTCTTATTAGTTAAAAGAAAATTCTCTTTAGTTTTGCCCAGAATGTATGCAAAAACTTGGACTGTAATTCCCAAGAAGGACTGGACATTCATGCTTCCAAGCCATGAATCTGAGTTAAGCACCCTCTTATCTTTGTGTCAACACTGAAGGTTTTTTCCAGATGTATGTCCCTACAAACATGAGTTGTTTTGAATGAGAACGTTGGATGAGAAACATTGGTTTCTTTTTAATCAAAATGACCAATTTGTAGATTAAATGTCATCAAAACAGTAATTTTAAAAAGTAATTAAACCCCAAAGAATCTAGGATTACAAAGAAATACACTTTACTGTTGCTCTTAAATAAAAAGAATCAGAATATGTATGTGTTAGGCTCATTCATCCTAGAATGACTTGTAATCAGATCATGACAAATGCCTATTAGAGCACTCTCTCTTGGAAAGTTTTGTTTACATAGAGATCTCCTGTTAAATATGTTTATATAACACCTATATGAAGATAAAAACAATTATTTCTTCTGTTATGTTTTATGTTCATACTTACTGAAGTAGTTTTGGGTTGAAGGAAATCATTAAAAGAGTGGTCCTTTAAAGCATAATTTGCCTGCTCTGTGGGTGGTTTATTCACTATGTTGTTTATGTTCTCTGAATAAATATTTACAAAAATAATTTGGTGTTTACATAAGGCAGATGGTATTTGCAGTAAACACTGTTTCAATAATTTTTAAATTTTTCCTACTTTTTATACTTCATATTATATTCTTTTCACTAGTTCGACCATGTTTTCAATACCAGTAACATTTAATGAGCTCTAGGAAAGTTAAAACAAAACCCAAACAAACAAAATAATGAAGACAAACCTGAACTTGTCTTAACAATAGTGTGTGTGCTATCAGAGACATTTCCAGGGATTTTTGTTACCAAGACATTTAACACAATGTGAAGCACTTGTTTGTTTGGGTTTTTTTTTAATTGAGAAAACTTGGCTAAAATAAAGCAGTTTATTATTTCAAATGCAATTTAGGCTATGGAAAAAGTATACAAAAAGTATACAAAAGTGTACAAAGCTCTGTGATCTACTTCCCTTGAAAGGCAGTGATTCTCAGTGAGGTCCTGCACATACCACAGACATTTCCATGTGCAAGAGGAAAGTGGAGTCTTACTTCTGAATCTGAATGGTGGTTTTCTTCCAGTTCACAGTTAAAGAGGCACCAGCTGCTGAGATGTCTTTGCTTAACATAAAAACAGGGGAATAATGTATTTTCCTATGGGAAGCTTTGACAAGGTCCATGATGGACAAGGATTCCTGGGATTGTCTACCATTACCTAAAAGATTGTAACTTAAATATCGGTTTTGATAGTGAATTGATTTGTTTTGGGAAAATTGTTTTTGTGTGAGCACTGTATACACATCAGACCTTGGCTGACCAATAATGTCTTAACAAAATACATGTGTTCTTCCAGCAAATGGCTCTAGCATTTACTTGATCATGGATTAATATGCAGATTGATTATTCTTTAAATTAGTGGTTAATAGCAGAACAAGGCATTCTCATTACTTTTGTGAAGAACACTGACAATCTGAAAGCAGTGAAATAATAATTAGACTACTCAGCTATTGCCACCTGAAGCTTTGTGATACAATAGGGTCAATTTCATGATATTTTTGTTCATATCACTGGGGTGAGGAAAAAAATTACTTCTTTTGTCTGCATATTACACCTTGTAGCCCAGCCCAGAGCTCTTCTGGTCATCTCCTAGTATGCAAAATGCAGTTTTCTAACAATTAGTCTATGAGTTACTTTGTCCTTCCCTTTGCCTCTTTTTGCTTGTGGATAGAAGAAGCAGTGTGGGTGTAGCACTGGTTGAGACCTGAGGGAATGAATAGCAGCTGAAAACTGCAGAGGTGCTTTGTCCATAAGGCAAGAAGGATCAGTTCCAACATCTGCCTTAGAAGTTCAGCAGATCTTCTGGGCTTCAGGGAAGAAGAGATATTGCTTCATTAGTTATGTCTGCTCTGTGAAGAAACTGAGGACTTCAATGCCAAGGCTGAGCGAGGCACTCTGCAACAGCAGCAAATCAACCTGATTTTAGTAAAGCATACTGTTTCTAAGTATTTGAAATCAAAGGAAATAATTGGATATAGATGCCATGGTACTGGAGAAATAAAAAAACTACATTTGCCTGGTAGTTTTCAGTCAGCCTCAGCAGCTTATTAATGCTAATGCAAACTAAATAACTATTATAATAATATTGTTTTATTGAAAAAAAATATAAATTATCTTCCAATTCGGATATTCTGTTGACTGAACAGGTAGAAAAGTAAATGCATTGCTGTTAAATATTCTTTATAAATGACTGGGAAGTGTTGAAGAAACAAAAAATAACTTCTGAATGTAAGTTTCTCCTTTGGGAATTTAGAGCAGATGTGCTCTGTAAAATAAGCCCTGGTACTTTTATGAAGGCCATGAAGTGGGGCTGTAAAAAGGCGCTGAAGCAGCTTCATGGCTCGTGGTTCATTAACTCTAATTGTCACGTCTGGATTCCATCTGATGGATGACCAGGTCCTTCCTTTCTCACATCCGTTTTTTCACTGTCATCAGGTGACCAGCTCCCAGGGACACCTCTTCCAGAGGTGTTTCCAACACTGGACTTGGGCAATACTCTAAACCACTTCAGTCATGTTTGAACGCTTCTTTTTCTTGTGGGATTTGCTCCTTTTCTTGTATTCTTCCCGTGTGTAGCTTTCCTCTGGAGAGAATAAAGGCATCATTAATGAAAAGCATTTTAGATTTTGAGGGATTATGTTACAGATCAGTTTTCCTAATTGACGAGGCTTATTTTTGAAGGTCACGGAATTTTTATACACATTAAAAATATAAAATGTAAGAAGCCTTATCAAGCACCACGTGCCTTCTGATTTCAGGCTTGCTCTAAGGGAGTGAAGAAGCAATGTTTCATGTACCACCCACGTAAGACAACCACATAATTTATAGTATGGGGCCATCTGTGTGTTTCCCAAGTTCTTGTTTTTTTATTAGAATTAGCTCTGAGCCAAAAGCAGAACATTAAGGGAGAGAAAAAGATGTGAAATAAATAAAGAATGTTCCTCCCTTTATTTCAGGATATTATACTTGTGACTGAAAGCTGCGTCATGACAGTTTGGGAGAGGAAGGAAAACCAGTTAATTGAGTTAATGAAATTAACTGAAGTAATTAATACTTTCAGACCAATGTCAAACAGCATTGAGTATATTTCATATGTACACAGAACTATCTGTTTACCCCACTAAAAACAGTCGAAAACTTTCAGAACTTGGAAATTCTTTGGCAAGTCTAATTCCAAAGTATAACCAAAACCTCATGTCGTGGTAACAGAAGGAATAATCTTTCATTACTATGGGATATTACAATTTGATTGTTTTTCAGTGTGGTTTAAGAACTTTTCTTTAAAGTAAGTAAATAAATAAAGGTGTGGTTTTAAGGAAAAATTTCATTAGTATGATTGGTAGAAGGGAATTTTCTGAAATCAAGATAAATAAGATCTGTAAATCTGAACACGTTTTCTGAGTTTACAGAATCAAAGTCTAACATTCCATAAGGTTGTACTTTCTTGGCTGTTAATATTGTCACAAGTATTCAAACCATCTTTAGTTTTATATCCCTGATACACTGTGCCAAAAAAAAAAATAAAAATAAAATCAATAAACTCTAAGCATGTGAAACAGTTGCAACACTTCATATATTACTTTTAAATGTATCAAATTGTTTGTACATGTAGCTAAAGTCTTGAAAAGAATTCTTACACACACACTTCAAGATTAATAGCACATTAAATATCTGTAAGTGTATTTTTTTTTTTCAAGTATATTTGGTTTTTATTAATGATTTTTTCCCTCAGAATGCCACCATCCTAGGGTATGTCTATCAGAATTGTCTGATAGATTGTTTAAAGTATTTCCTGTATTTTAAAATAGGAAGAAATATCACAGATAAACTGAATATCCAAATTTCCACTTCAGTAAACTTGTTAAAGTTCACTTTAGTTACTGATAAATGCACTTGCTGTCTCTGTAATTTATCAGTGTTACCACAGTATTATTCACTTTTTTGGGCTGTATTGCCTGAGCAGAATTTTAATGCTTTTAGTTACAATCCTAAAAAAATACAATATGCATAACAAAATAAAACCAGCCTCTTTTACCTCTGTTTTAGTGTGTTTTGTGACTTTTGTTAAAAGAATCTTCGTATTTTCTGAAACAGTCTGGTTCCACTCTGCAGTATAAAGTCACTACTTCATTCAGGGTTCTATATACTAATTTAATTATTTTACAGCCTCCACCTTTTCATTATTTATTATAAGTTGGGATCAAACTAATCCTGGTTCAGTTATGGCATGCAAAGCTTATTAATTTTTAAGTCTGCAGTTTTCTCCAAAGTATCCATGTTCCAGAGGGCATTAATCAGGGATGAAAGCTGGTGGCTTATTCAACAGCATCTCTGCTCTTTAGTCTTACCATACTTTTGTATTTTTATTGCCTAAAAATGGACTTTTTTTTTCTCCCACATTTTATCTATAGGTAAGGAGCTCACTATTTTCACACTTGCAATTTTTAAACTTCAGCCTTTGTTGTGGTTGTGGACCTTTTGAATTTTCTTTAATAACAGAAGGAAATGAGAGGTGCTTAAATGTACACATAAACCATTTTTATGCAGAGCTCTCACTTCTTCAGTCTCCACTGTTAAGTATTTGATTTCCACTTTTCCTTTGGGAAGCTCTACTACTCTGCTTCACTTTACTGTTTCATATGCATGCCAGTCTATTTTTTCAGATGTTTGACCTTTATTAGCTGTATAAAAAAGAATATAGTTTCTGCTTTGATAGCATTCAAATCCTGAAATTTATCATTAGGGAGTTACTCCATTTCCAGCTCTTTTCTTTTGGACCACCTCTAGTGGTTTTAAAATTGCAGGCTTTGCATAAGCTTAGCATACTTTGATATCTGATCTATACAATCTGCCATCAAACAAAACAAGGCCAACATATATATTTGACCTGTTGCATAAATTTGCATCAAAGAAAAATACTGTATTTCCTGAGAAGACTGCTGGTACCTTTGGATATTGTGACGTCTATGAATTTCTTTTTTTTGTTCTCTTCATCTACTCCTCTGTACTTCCTCCATAACTGATTGGTCCTGAAGTCCTTAGGCATCTGTGTTCTTACCTTTAAAATATACACTTTTGTTTTTGCAGCTTTCCAAAGCAGTTATTCAATACTTAAATTGTTTGTTTAACCTGTTCTTTAATTATGTTCTCCTTATGTTTGAACTGTTAATAGATGTAGGTCTTTGCTCTGGCCTTGGTACCATACCTTTTTAGAATTGTTCTCTCTGTGTGGGCTCATGAGTGTCATTTGTCTCGTTTAGGCTATGGCCTGAATCAAGCACAGCCGATTTATGTGAGCAAAACAAGCTCCAGATGAGCCATGCTACCTGTTCATGTAGAAGGGGAGTGCTTGGGATTACCTAATCACTACTGATTTCTAATGCCTTTGTTATTGTCTCACAATGTTTCCATTTTTTATAAATATTTTGATATTATGAGGTCACTGCAAAAGAGCTATGCTTTCACCTTAAGATTTCCTGATTTTGCCTTTTTACTTTAGATTCTGCCTCACTGAGGGCTAGTATTTTCTCTTTCTTCTTCACCTCCTGATCCTTAAGTTATCTTCCATTGAAATCACAATAGCAATCTCTTAGTGCTGTTGTTGGTTTGGGGTTTTTTCCCACTCTCTCAGCTTCCCTCAGGTTGAAAAGTTTTCTTGAGGTTCTGGAAATCAGGACTGTCCTTTTACATGGAGCAGAGAGTGCAGAAATCTTTAACTTAGAGTTTAGTAGATCCCTCCTTGCATTTCAGTGAAAGTTACAGGAAATTCAACCATAAATATGTTCCTTTATATTTTAAAGTATTTTCATATTTTAAAAACATGTTTTATAAGTAATTTTTTTTCACTTTAACTTTTTTATCAGTCGTAGTAGTGGAATTACTATAGGGAAGGAGATTTTATTTTTAAGCAGTGCAACAAAGCTTATCTTTGTTATGAACCAGTTTGAGGACAGATTCATCACTTTTTTGCAAAAATCTGCCCCCACCCTTACTTCCCACTCCATCAGCCACAAACAAAATGTCTATCAAATTCAAGCTGTATAGTGAGGAATAGAGGAAACTAAAGAAAACAAATTTTATTTTGAGGTATGCTTGCAAGATTCCAGCCAGGTCAGGCAAAAGCTTGCTGAAGGTCACTTATCCATGTTTCCACAGTTGCCTCTCTGCTCCACAGGTGCAGTTCAGCACTGGCCTGAGAGAGCTGTGTGGGGTCAGTGGAGACGGGCAGAATCAGAGCTCAGAGAAAAGCACATGCAGAAGCATGAACTAATTTCAAATTTCACTCACATTTCCAATGTTTCTAGCCTCAAGATGAGTCTGAGTGCACACTAACCCCTGTGGCTTTGCCATATTTTAAGAATGTTCTAGGGCACAAAGCTAGGAGAAATCCTTAAGATTGGTGAGACCTTCTTTGAGATATGAATTCTCCCACAGAGAGAGATCTACTTGTAAAACATAGTCCTCAAAAAAGTCTTTTCTAGACACCATTCACATAGATGGGATACAAGAGTATCATATTTTTAAGGGGAAAATAGGATTAGTTGACAGAGAACGGGAGCTGGTGGAGTAATCTTATTTATTGCCTTCTTTGAACACAAACTGTTAGTTTTTCATTCTGGGAAGGACTACTTAACCTCTCTGGCACTTACTGTGTTAAATACATACATACATACATACATACATACATGTATACATACATACATACATATATCAGCGATGTTTACCTCCCAGGGAAAGAAAAACTGTTGTATACCTCTGAGTTTACTAGGAATGTCATCTAATCCATGACTGTTACCCAACATTTCAAAAGCAATCCTATGACAGCAATAAGGACTGAACTTAGTCCTAAAATAATATATGCCAGTTCCTTAGAGATTCCTGGGAAAGTCTCAGTGTTCACTGTAACTCCCACATTATTAGTTTGAAAACACAGGGCTATTTTTTTCTTTCTTTTTTATCCTCCCCTGTAGGGCTTTTCAAAGGTGACTTATTTTCCCTGAGTTTTGCCACTGAAGGGAGTTTTTGAACTTTCAACTTTATATGCTGGGAGGCAAAGGAGTGACAGGAAAGCATCCTGGTAATGTTTTTGTATGTGGGAAGACTTGCTGTAGGCCTATTATGTTTCTCAAAAAGTTTTCTCAAAGCAAAAAACCAAACCAAACCAAAACAAGAAAAACCAAAAAAACCGAAGACAATAAAACAATCTTGTTCATAAGGACTTAAACCTCTTGAATTTGTTGTTTGATGTTGATACTACTGTCTTTGAATACCTCAGTTTCATTCTGATCAGCACATGGCATCTCATGGTCCACTCATCATGCCTTTTTTGAGTTGAAATCATTAATTCCATCTGCATTTGATGGAGCAGTAGCAGATGATATTTATGAATGGAAGCATCTCTTCCAATGGAAGAGATCTCTTCCAATGGAAGCATCTCAATCTTACATTGAGGGAATGGAAGGCAGGGAGGAAAAACACCTGTTGCTACGAGGTTTTCTTCTTGCCAGCCAAATTACAGAACTTTCACTTTCATCCACCTCTTCCTATTCTGGCCTCTAGACCATTAAGTACTTCCACACTCCT